AACCGTTTCCACACATAATACAGATTGGTCCTTGCCACTTAGGGGTTTAGGGTTTAGGGTTTAGGGGTTTAGGGTTTAGGGTTTAGGGGTTTAGGGTTCATGGGAATCGGGCTGGCAATCGTTCATCTCGCAGTGGTGCACGATCACATCATCATCTATAGCCGCCACAGTAGTATCAGCCTCATCAGCAGTTCCCACAGCCATGATGGCTGTGGAGTTGGCCGGCGTTCTAAGACTAGTCTTCCATATCCAGAATAGCTCATCATCAACAACATCATCAACATCATCGCAATCATCATCGTCATCGGCGTCGTCGTCGTCCTAATCATTATCACCATCACCATCACCATAACCATCATCATCATCATCATCGTCATCATCAAAATCGTCACCAGCATCATGCAGCCAGCCCTGCCACACAGCAGCGGCCTTTCTTTGCTTCAGTGACGGTCCCGCGAGTTCTGTGCAGGCAGGCGGCTGACTGTAGATTGGGGGTCGGAGATCAGAACAGCGCCTGTCACGGAGAACCTCGATGTGTGCTTGCTACACTTAACCAACAGAGATCTAACAAGTCCTAAGCATGTCAGCGCTAGGGGTTGCCACATGTGCTGCCCGGCGCATGCAAACTAGCTACAATCAGGCACAAAGTTGCAGGGGTGTATGTCTGTGGAAAGCAAAAATCGACGTTCGTGCGCACACGCGCGCTTTGGTGATTCTGCTGCATGGGTTTGGTGGTTGCCGCCTTTCCTTTGAGCTTGATCGCGGTTCCTGGCTCGCAGCAGCTGTCCAGTGCTACATCCAGGTTGTGCTGATGGCCTTGACACTGCCATCTTTACATGCCCAAATTGCGACTCAAGCACGACTACAGCTCTCGGGGAAGGAATCTGACAATTGCTCTGAACCATGTGCAAATCAAAGCTGCAGTATGGACAGGATACCCTAAACCCTAAACCCTAAATCAAAGCTGGTGCAAATCCAAGCTGCAGTACGGAGAGGATGTGCAGCTTCCCCAGCGGCTCTCCTGCTCCAGAGACTTCGGCCCCCTTAAGAATCAGCATCGAGATGCCATAGACAGACTCCAGCATCCTCTACTCGAGGTACATTCATTCTATGGTAGGGGATCTGAAAGAAGGGAATCAAGCTTTATACGTTTAGGGTTTAGGGTATAGAAGCCTGGAAACCCCTGTACAAGCCCTGCGAATCTTCTCGAGGCCCTCATAGGAGGCTAGGAGCCTTTGACCAGAATCCGAATCCTGAACTGTCTCTTTGGACCCAAGATAAAGGGCCGTAATAATTAGAATAGGGTTTTGGGGTATATTATACTATCCAAAACAACGGAACACGAGCAAAGCGCTCCCAGCACTACTCGCCCGAGGAGAGCGGCCACGACGGTGTTAACCTTGGCCAGTTAGGTTTAGGGTTTAAGGTTTAGGGTTTAGGGTGGCTAATCTGGGCGATTAACCCATAAACCCTAAACCCTAACTTTGCTAAGGCCTTGGAAAAGCTTTACATTTACATGTTCTCTGGAGTTAAAGGGTCCAGCGTTTTTTTTTAAGCGATACACACGTTCCTTCAGGGCCATAACACTACGATCCCCAAAACCCTTATCAGGGATGGGGGCAGGATGTCAATCAGGCATCTACATCAAGGATTTGGTGTCAGGTGTATGAAAGCATAAATCGCCAGTGTGTCGTCTCTTTGGACCTACTATAGGGCCCGTAATAATTAGACTAGGGTTTGGGGTATATTATACTACAATTCTAATCAGGAACCCTCAAAATAGTATTGGTAATCATTCAGGCCCCTACATTATATTGGGTGCCCCCCTTTTGAGCAACATGATCTCCACACCAGACGAATCCGACACTACACCCGAAGCCATACAGGGGCAACCGGAGATCCCAAACACATCTGTCTCCAAAAACACCCGATCTCCTCGGTGTGAGAATTTAGACGCAGTTTTTTCGGATGTCGGACAACCGCGAAATTGAAGTCTTGAGCCGGTACAGCCTGTACAGCCTCGCTTTATCCTGACTTAGAACCTTGACTCGTAACCAGACTTACTTAAGCCCCTGCCTAAACCCTAAACCCCTAAATAGCTACATAGAACCCATGACAGAGAATCCTTTAGTAGAGACACAACGCCCATTGGGCCTCGAAGCCCTAAACCCTAAACCCGACACCCTTGGAGTAACCCTTATTATTATAGTCACCCTCACAGAACCCTCCCTAAACCCTAAAGCCTAAACCCTAAACTCCAAACCCTAAACCCTAAAACCTAAACTCCAAACCCTAAACCCTAAACCCTAAAGGAGCCCTACTTCTAAATAAGTAAGAACGCCTCAAGTGTATTCACTCAGGATTCAGGTTGACATGGGGTCTAAGGGATCGCTTCCCCATGTGTGCCCTAAAAGCAGGTCGGGGCTTGGGGTTTAGGGGTCTTTGGGGGGTTTAGGGTTTGGGCTTGAGGTTTAAGGGTTTTGGGGGTTTAGGGTTTGTAGAGGTACCCTAAACCCTAAACCCTAACCCCTAAACCTTTAGGGGTCTTGGGGGGTTTAGGGTTTGGGGGCGGTGTAGCTTTACTCCGGAAAGCCGACGCCTGCAACTGAAAGGGCGAAAGCATGCTACTAGGAACCAAACCCCCTAAAGCCCTAAACCCTAAACTAGGGTTTAGGGCCTATAGGGTTTAAGGTTTAGGGTGATAGGGTTTAGGGTTACCTTAAACCCTACACCCTATAGGCCCTAAACCCTAAACCCAGAAAGCCCCCAAAGCCGGAGCTGTGGTTCGTTCCACTGAAGACTGGCGGCGCTCGACAGCACGCCAATGCTGCCCTGCCATCTCAGCCGGTAAGGCTTTTTCAGGGCTCCTTTAAGGGGTCCTTAAGGGCTCCTTCAAGGGATAAGGGATTTTTTTGTATTCATATAATGTGCATGCGGTGCCCAGGGTTTCAAAATCGAGCGAAACGATGCGCAGAACGAAACACGCAACAAAGGGCAATGCCGGATTTGAAGGTGGTACAGGTCGGTGTTGCCATTGGCGCGCCCGCCAGAGCTGCACACACGCTCAGAACGTTGTTGCCACAGCCGAAGAGGCCTCTGCAGGAGAGATAATGAGTATCCATAGCGGTAGAACGGGAGTTAGGATTAGGGGGACCCTTGGGGATATAGACCCTCTCAATAAGGTCCCTGTTGAGAGAGCCACAAGGAGGGTTCAGAAGGGTCCCCTTTAAGGGGTCTCCTTAATACTACCTAGGATAGAACTGCACAACCCAGTATGGAACAGGTATGACAAGCATGCTCAGGCACTTGGAAGCTTCAAGTGGCCTGCCGGACCCAAAAGTATAACGGGTGCACTCGATTTCCCCCTTTGTGTGGTTGACTACGCTTTGGCTCGGTGCCTCACACGCGTTCGATACCTTGCATTACCTTGCCGCTGCTATGTGTAGTTGGCTCAAGGTGAATAGATTAGATACTAAATCACGCGGATTCGATACTACACAATACAGAAGAGGTACATATCGAGTTCCATGTTGACATATAGAGAAGAAAAAGTTGGTGGCATGTTCGAGGACACCACCCGAAATCCTGAGACCTACATATGGTTTCAACCAGAATCCCTAAGCCCCAAACCGGGAGTGCCTCGTAAAAGGACCCACTTGATCTCCTTCCGCTGGCAGTGATATGCATCCACGCCCTGTCTTGCCAGCATCCTGGGTTTAGGGTTTAGGGTTTTAGGTTTAAAGGTTAGGGCACGCTGCTACACCGGATTCGGCATGAGTTCAATTTCAGGACCGTTGGCCGAAACCTTGTGCTATCTATGGGGGGAGAACCCTAAACACTAAATCCCTAAACACCGGGAAGGAACAATTGAGATGGAGCGAACATGGACCCTTGAGTTAGACGGTTGAAGGTACCTCGGTCGACAGCGGGTGCGACCCGGGTTTGGGCTTTTGTCATACAAATAATGACATTATTGCTAAACCCTAAGCCCTAAACCCTAAACCCTACCTTTTCTCAAACCTCCAAAGCCCGGCAAAATGTATATGGAACCCTTAAAGGAAGCCCTGAAAGCTGGATACTACTAGTTACGAGCTTGACCACCAGGAAGACTTAAAAACATAGAACCCCTCAAAACAGCCTTGTAGTATACCTGTTGGGGGGGTTCTCTATTGGGAGTCCTATTTTTGGGGGTTCTGGGTAGCTATGGCTATACCTGTTGGGGGGTTCTCTTTTTGGGGGTCCTTGTAGGGGGCTCTGGGTAGCTATGGCTGAATCCGACGCAAGGCGGCACGACCTGAAGGCCCAAGACGATCAGAAGCGAGCACAGGCCAGCCAGGAAGAAGTAGGGCCACTGCCATCCCTACAAATCACTGGGACTTAGGATTAGGGGGATCCTTGGGGATACAGACCCCCTCAGTAAGGTCCCTTTTAAGAGAAGGGTCCCCTTTAAAGGGTCTCCCTAAGACTACCTAGGAATCACCCAAGGGAGTTTCGGATAAACCCTAAACCCTAAACCCTGTTCAGGCTCAGCCGGGCTTGGCACTTTTATGGTGAGGTTCAGGGTTACGAGGCCTCGGGTCTAGGACTCAGGGTTACGAGAGTTTCGGATCTTGGGGTTCTGGTGAGAAGGTATCGAACCTAGGGCTTTAAGTTAAGTGGGTTTTGGATTTAGGGTTTAGGGTTTAGGGTTGTGCTGCTTCGGATATATATATATATCGCGAACATTTCCAACATTGGCATCGTCTGGGCATGGGCAGCTCGTGGTAATCGGATACCCACCAGCACATCCCAGCCTACAGATGCAAAGACAGCGCCGGTTCCGGCTGACCCAGATCCGAATACATAGTACGATTATTTCCGGATCTTCCCTAATTATTTTTTGTATGCTTTGATAGACCCCGAAACCCTACTTCACCTTAAAGCTCCGAGACTATTCAACCCTAAACCGCCACTCCGCGCAGAGCCAGTTCACGACCGGACAGGGCTTCGCTTTGCCCAGCCTGCAGCAACTTGGACAGAATCAAGTTCAAGGTGACGAAGCAGCCGCAGACGAAGACTGCCAAAATGCCCTGGTCAAGCGCACAGATTGGCATGGGCAATAACTAAACCTCGATGTATGGCTAAGATGTGAGAAATTTCAACTGTCTCCTTTGGCAACCGTAGCCATCCAAAACACCCGCTATTCCAGTCTAGGCACGTCCCACATGGCTTACTCCAACACCGGTCTGCTACTGCACATCGCTAAACCCTAACATAAAAGCTTGAATAATTACCAATATCATTCTTTGGGCCCTGATAGGAACTATGCCTCAATATACCACAAAACCCTATTCTCAATATTTAGGACCCCCTATATTACCGATCTGCAGAGCTCAACGACTTGAACGCCGTAAAGACGAGTCTTGGGATATCTTTTGGCACAACTATACAGACTTTCTGGGAGCCAAGGAATACTATGACTAGCAATTCAAACCCTACAGTAAAGCCCCTAAACCCTAAACCCTCAACCCTTAAACCCTAGGACCCTCATGAAAGTCTCTGGGAACCTGCACTTCAGACGGGATCGACATGGTGGAGCCACCGATCGGCGCAGACGCCACGGAAAGAAAGAACTCTAAACCCTGGTGGACGTTGAGAGCCACAAGCTGCGCAAGGGCGACATTTCTAGGGTTTGAACGGTTTAGGGTAGTAGGGTTTGAGGGTTTAGGGTAGGGGTTGATGGTTCGGCAAAGAAGGCCCAAGTGCAAATCTGAACCTTTGGCTCGGGGCAAAGAATATAGCGATCCTACCATTCAGAATCGGGTTTTTGCGGGTAGAGTGACATACAGTCTAGCTACATAATTAACGACTGGAATGGATACTCTTACGACCCTACATTTGGGCCCTCATAGGCGGAGACAGGCTTCCGCACTTCCCTCGTGTCATTTACGAAGCCAACTGCACGGACGTGGCCTGTTTGCGTTATGCTCGGGGGGGAGGCGGGCGGAGGGACCCTCAGCCCCGAAACCCTAAACCCAAACCCCTAACGCACTAAATGCTACAAGCAGCTTACGAATTGGAACAGGGCTGTTGGGGTGCACCTTTTTGTCTCATTTTATTGAGGAGCCCTGAGGAATCAGATGAGTAGCGATGCGTAATGTAGGGGCCTTCGTAAGTAGAATGGGGTTTTGGGGTATGTTATATTATAACTATGATAAGCAACCCCCAAAGTAATATAGGTAATTAATACAGCCACTATACTAGTAAGAGAACCAAATCAGCCAAAAGGCACCATCCATCCGACAAATCATCCCAAGGCTCTGAAGTTAAGACGCCTTCCAGCCACCGTTGCTGTTCAAACTCGGAGTTTTCATGGGGTCTTTCAGGAGAAGGTTTTAGGGTTTAGGGGTTGGGGGTTTAGGGTTTAGGGGTTGAGGGTTTAAGTGCAATTGACCACCCGAAACGATACGCCCTACAAGGCAAACCCTCAAACCTTGAAGACACCCGAGTCCCCGAGACCGGAGCCTGTCGCAGTGACCCGATCGGCCAAGGCCTGCTGCGTTGAGGTTCAAAGCTTAGAGGAGTCATGCCGATGATCCTTCATTCTGTGACCTACATAAACGGCAACGATAGAAATCGCGTGACGTGGGCCTGATTTCCCAGCATGGCCTCTGTCTGTGCCCACCTGCCCTACTGAGCCGAAATTTCCACGGCAAGTGCACGCCTCAACTCCGATGAAGCCTTCGAGACTGTGCTTAATCAGCGGCATCAAGTTGCATGCATATGCAGTCTGCCTCTTTTGCCCATGCTCCCATGCCCATCGTCGAATCTTCAAACTGACATGCACGCTGCTGCATCCGCGACGCTGCGTATGGGCTGATCGATGGCACGCAATGCATGTGGGTCGATCCGATCTTTTGAAATTCACAACGTTGCCTCTCCCATAGCTTCATCTTCATGCTGCCAAGGATTTAAAGGCCTTGCACAGTTCGCCTCAACTAATTACTTCAGGCCTTCGAAGAAGAAGATTTTGCGTTTGTCGTGCCACCACCACCGCTGCCCACTTTTGCTTTCGTAGGGCAGCCAACCCCACTGACGGCTGTACTGAGCAAAGAAGTAGTCATCCGTGTGTTCATTGTGGAACCAGATTTCTCCGCCTTCTGGGTCCTTGTATTTGACCCAGCCTCGATCGTACTCGACACCAAACTCAACCTGGAATGGGAGGGTGCCATCTGGCTGCACATTCTGAGATGGTGCCCCAAGCACTGAACTTGGTGCCGGAGAAGTTGTAGGCCGAGATTGCAGTGGAATCGAGTCTTCTGAACCATGGTGCGCCACATCGGTGAAAGCAGGAGAAGCCCAGATGTCAACATCAGCTACCTGTTGCTCTTCAACGCTGCTCTCGCTGTTTCGCGCGACGACAGGATCGTGCTTCTTTTCAACGTGCCTGTGTGAGTTTCTGAATTCAATAATGCCATATGCGTTGTGCTCCGCCACCGCAGCTTCACTTTCTGGGAAGCCCAACCGATTTTCTGATGCCAGATTCATTGCTGTTGGTTCACGCTGCAACATCCTCTCAACCTCCACACCTGATTCATCGGAGCGTGTCCGCAGCCGCCACCGCGGGGCTTGAGCTACTGCACTGAGCTTTTCCGGGAGAAAATCAGACTGGCACTGCCCACTCGGCGCCTCCGATGCTGATGTGTCGGCACTGTCTGCCTTCAAGGGTGAGCAATGCAAGAGCAAGGAACCCATCAGCAAATGAGAAAGGACCTGCAGCGACTGTTGTGATCGCTGCTTCACAAAAGCGTGGTACTGCTGCTCCTCATATTTGGAATGAGAGCTGTTGTGGTTCGTACTGTTGCTGCTGCTGTAACTACTGCGAGTGCGACGACCACTACCGCTGCTACTGCCTGCTGCAACACGGCTACGACGATGACGACGAGTACTGCATTCACCACTTCCTTTTGTAAATGGTTGCTTCCATTTTCTAGGTCCCCGTTTCCTGTAGTCTCGGGTAGTGTACCCTGAGCCCTAAACCCTAAACCCTGCCTTTAGGGAGTTTAGGGTCTTGGTCCTTTCCTTACCTTCTGTATGCTCTTCAACGGTATTCTCTTCATGCGCTCTGCCTAGGGTGTTGGTTGCAATGAACTTAGTTATGTATTTCGACCCTTGTCCCCGGGCCTGCAAGATGTGCAGACTCTTGGTCTCGAGGCTTCTCGGCTGGGCTGGGACCTCAACGGCATCCAATGCCTGCAGGCCCCATTCCTCAGCTGGGAGACAAGAGATCTCTTGCTGTTCGGCACCTTGCCTTTTCATGGGGAGCCGTGCGTTGGTAAGTCGTTTCACCACCTTCTTCTGCTGCATTGTCAGCATCCCACATTGCACGACATCATTCTCAACTTCCGACTGCCTTGCCTCCACCTGCACACCACCAACAGCGCAGGAGTCTTCACCGCAGCTAGGGCCTACTCTCACTGGTGCCGCAGGGCCCAGAAAGACAGCCGTGGAGATTGACGAGGGGACAAACTCCTTGGCTTGAGCGCGGAGCCCTTGCTGGCCCATGTCAGCCATCCCGAAATAAGTATCGTCATCTTCACCTTCCGGCTGACTTGCCTGCACCTGCCAAGCAGCAACAGAACAGTAGTCCTCACGGTAGTCCTCTATCCAAACATAAACAAGGGGTTGCTCTGGTTGGTTGTGTAGACTGACATCCGTGGGCATTGACAAGGGGAAGAACTCCTCAGCTTCACTGCTCAACCGTTGCTGAACCATGGGGGCTTCTGCAGGCCAAGGCAGGGGATGAGGTTGATGAACCAACCTCGAGGACACAGGCATGGGTATGCAGTATCCGTCACGCCACTGGTCAAAAGATGCCATGTGCTGCTGGGGCAGAGCGCGAGGAGCCTGAGGACCGGTGCATGCAACTGACCCCTGACAGCTGCTGACGGGGGCTGATTCCGTTCATGTTCACAGTTAGAAGACAAGAGAGACTTCAACACATACAAAGAGATATAGCAGTACTTGTGTGTGTGTGTTCACGCCAGCTGATGGCAAGACAACAAGCGAACCAACGACAAGGCAAGGACGAGAAAGAGGAGGATGACGACGATGACGACAACACGGACAACTGGAATACCATTACCAGCATCTTTGTCACGACCATCATTATGATCACGGCCTTCACCACCAATCACCACCACCACGACGACGACGA